GCCCTATGAAACAAGTCATTCAGCCATCACTATCAAGAAGAAGTGGCGGCGGGATTGGAGAACACCTTGCAGTATTGATCGGGCACTTGTGATTTCCGAATCGCGTGAATCGCGCAAATCGCGAAATCAGCGAAACCTGCGACGAATCGCGGACTCTGACACCAGCCTAACGACATGAGCGCTGGCTGCTACAATTATTGGTGTTATTGTGGTCAAAACATGACAAACCTGTATTATATTTTTGAAGCTTTCAGGCAGGTTAGGTAGTAATCCGATATGACAGTAGGTAGTTCCAAAGAATGTTTGAATGAATAGCGTAGAAATGGAGCTCCTTGTTGTGGCAAGATGGGTTGTAGGCTGTGACATGTTTCGTTTCGTTATCTGCAGTTTTTTAGAAGGTTTGCAGTCTTTGCAAGTGTCGACAGGGACATTTCTGCTAGCTGCTTGAAAGTTTTGGCTGACGTTACCGCTCTGACATGTTTTTTTTTTCGTTAGAACCAAATTGCTCCCCCCTGTTCCAACCAGTTACCCATTTTTGCATTTTGTTTTACTCTGTGTGTGGGTTCCTTTTCCGCCGTTTCTATTTCTCAAGAAGATATCAAGTTGTCCCAAAAGTTTGTGCCACTTTTGAATTTTTTTTGAGTTAACATTGTCTCTTTAAAAAGCAATATCCATCATCAATGGTATGTGGAACATCACTATCAGTCCCTGTTGCTATAAAACCACCGAGGAGTCGATGCCGCATTACCAAGAGGTCCGCAGTTCAGTGGCTGATTCGGGATTTGCTTATCATAGAGGATCCAAAGCGGTTTGCTGAATTGGACAGTTATTCAGCCCGTTCTGGTTGATGCAGTCGCTAGTGCTTCTGCAGGTGATTAGCATAAAACAACTACTTCTCACCAGCCGTATTTGTTTTATGCTAATCAGACTTTGTTCAGCCACCGCGCAGGGATGGAACAGGATAAAAATGTTGACTGAACTCGCGTCGCACTCATGGGATTATTGGCCAATTCATGAAGATTTCTTTGTCCAAGCCTCTACAATTTTCTATAGGCGGGCAGACCTCTATCAACCATGTGCATGAAATGTCAGAGTGTGGCGGTCACATAGCAAATAACTTCGTGCGGGTTGCCTTTGATGCGCAGCAGGTCCAATTCGGACACCGATTGCCTTCTCGGGTCGTGATTTCTCCAAGCTTTAGTTCCAGTGCAGGCTCGCCGTTCTGAAACCGTATTATGTGTAGAAAAAGATGAGCAAGCGGGTGGTGTCCGCGAAGCATTACTCCGCTTCAGACAGACTTTGTGGCTTAGTAGAAGTTCATAAATCAATAGCGCGAAATAGCATGCTCTCTATCCGGTTTCAATGATCGTATGGAGAAAGGAGTAGCAGGCTAAGTCGGACTTGCGTTCAAATATAGGTTTACTCACGAAAAGCCGGCACTTCGTTGATCCACCTTGGTTTCACTGTTACAAATCGGCAAAGAAGTTTTGGAAGGATAAAAAGGATAAAGGATAAAGCATTTGCCGTTGATCAATCCCTTTTTGGGATGCGGCACGCATTCTACTTCCATTTGTACATTCGCAGTGGCGTTTGAATGCGATGTGGCCTATACAATGACTTGCGGGGGCCAGCCGATGTTCAAGTCAGTGTTTTTTATCCTCCCAGACAAGTCTGGTACCAATTAACCGACCCCGGAGGGATGGAAGGCTTGGTTGGCCCGGGCGACTCACGACCCAGGATTTGATCCCGGACCGCTCGCGTGGTGAGCGCGCCACTTGTCACTGCACCACTTCCGCCCTTTTGGCATAGGTGCCAAAAAGTGGCAGGAACTTATTGGACAACCTAATATATTGTAAGCAGTCATACTTTGCGAATGGCGTGCACTTCCTCTGCACTAGACTTCGGTTTCAGGTGCAGGTCGATCATGCCATCTCACGAGCGCAAGATCGTATTATCCATGAAAAAATTGTCGCGATCGCTCCATCGTTTGTCCGTCGCCGAGACGGCGGTCTAAGCATCTTCCGCTGAACTCGCTCTAATCGTTTCGAAGAGGCAAACTCTCTCTTTAGCATCCGAAAATTGTGAATGACGACGTTCGAGGGGCAATTTAGAGTTATTAGAGAGTTGGGAGAAAGAGCAACGTTTTAAGTTGACTCCTTTTGCGCAAGTATAGTTTCATGAATGTCTCCATGGATTGAAATCAGACGCTTTTGTACGAAAATCGCAACAGATTTCGAGTCGGTTTAGAAAGTCTAAACGGGCCTATCGAAATGCGGGAGGCGTCTGTGCAGTAGCTCGTGCCGCTCGTAACGATCACGATTCTGTTTGGGAAAATACTCCCATGTGAAAGCAAAAGCAAGGTAAGGGGTTCCTGCTGACCCCACGACATGACTAGTGCATTGCCGTAGTGCCAAGAAAAAGCAATAGTTGGAATCAGAGTCAACCCTGCGTTGCGCAGTTCGCAACGGCACGTCGAGAGATCCTCAACGCACGCTGTATGGGCGGAGACACAGACGGCTCGAGCATGCGAGTGTGAATGTTCGCGCGAGAGAACGTGTCTAATCGGGCGAAACTGCGCAACGTAGGGTTGACTCTGGTTGGGATTTAGTTAGGGTGATCATTTGTCATTCAAGCATGGCAGAAGTATAAGACCCCAGTAAACTTGTGGCATTTATTTAGTGGCAGAAGGCGGGCCGGACAAGAGAAAGATCTTATGTTCAAGTTCTGACACTGCTTCATTTTATGAATACACGGAACGTTGAACTTCCAAATTAGTAAAAGAAAATATATCTTCCATTGTTTCTGCCTCCTCGGAAGCGGTGAACCACATCATCGATTGCTATATCTTGTTAGAAATTTAAAAGAAGCATAAGCTGTGGCGAGCTGTCTACTGGCTGTTAGATTTTGTTGATTTATTAGTAAATTTCCCTTTAGTGGGTCATTTTTCCATTGCTTTCGTAGACTGTTCAGGAGGCAAACAGATATGAATTCAAGTAATGTCATGGGTTAGCTTCATTGTGTGTATTTAAGTTTGCTCTAGTATATTTCATTTTTAAAAACTTTAGTCAAGAATGCGCATGGTAAGCATATTCGGAGCTGGACTACTTCTAGGGACTGCCTTATCTGTGATCATTCCTGAAGGAGTGGAAGCTCTCTATACCGCACAATCAGGTGATCGTCTTATCACTTTCATATTTGCGCTGCTAGCGATTGTTTTGCTACGTTTTTAACAAACTATTGCTATCGTTATACATATTGAGCTATTCTGCAGAGAAATCACATCCTGAATTTCACGGAATAAACAACCCCGCAAAGGCTAAAGAAATTCTCGAAGATACGAAACCTGAGAAAGTTGAGCTACCTCGCATTGTCCCTCAAAATCTCAAAGATAAAATCGATGGAGATGGCTTGGGGTATGGCTCTCTTTCATCTTTTATTCTTTTTAGAGAGTTCTCAACCATATCCTATGTTATCTCTCATTTCAGAAATCCCAAAACGGAGGAGGAAACGCTATCTCCAAAGCAGAAATGGCACTGAAATAATTGCGATAAGGCAGAAGCGCGACCAAGGTTGGTTTACTTATCATGTTGACAGCTGCAAACACCTAAGCAGTTCATTTTGTTTTTTCGTGTCGATAATGCTTATGTGATAAATTAATCGCTGACAATATATGCGATAACGAGAGGAAAACATCTTTTTCTTGAAAGCTTGAAATGTAATCAGAACATTGCTTGTCAATGAATTCTTTATGTAGAATTCAGGCAGGGTATTTCTGAACCTAGTTGTCCGCATAATCAGAAGAGGAGTGCCGCATTTGCTTGGTTCATCGCAACTCACATCCTACTTCTCTGTATGACATTTTTCTATTGCTTATTCTGACTCTCTTCTGATTCTTTTTGTGTGTTATCCGCAAGTATGTCGAGTGCTGAGGCTCGACTGGGTAGATATTTCATCACTCCTTTGAGCTGTGGCGGTGAGGACACGCTCCCGCTTCGTATGCGTAGTTAGATGCGTTGAGTGTCTAATGTCTATCATAATCTTTTAGACTCATATGTGCATGCTTCTAATCTATTTTCGGAAGGTTTTTGTAGTATCTTAATTGGGTAATTTCGCATAGCGTGATCAATCCCTTTGGTATGCGCACGCCTATTTTACTCCTCTCAGAATAATAGAGGCATGTGGATTGGATTTGTCCACACAATGATTTGCTTAGGCCACCTCAGTGTCAGGTCGTTGTACTTTTTTTATTTTGGTGATAGGATATGTCACCAATTAAGCAACCCTTGAGCCATGGCAAAATTGGAGTTCGGTGGAAATTTCCTGAGCCCGTCGGTTGGCATACGGTGATGAGCCTCCTGGTCGAACACTGATGGTCGATCCTTTTTAGTTGGTCTCTTTTTGAACTTCTTCTTGGGGCGCACTTTTTTCCATGGTGGGTGTGCACTAGTCCCTGGGCCATATAACTTCTTGTTCCTCCTCGGTTGAATCTGGTAATTTTTGCCTGCGGCAAAGAGATGAAGTGTGCAATATTTGTTCGTTGTGTATTCGATTCACTCTCATTCACGATTCATTTACAATAACAATGTAGTTTCATTCAATTCTATTTTTAAATAGTTTCACTCTGATTCGGTTCTCTTGGTGCTCTTTCGGTTTGATGAAATCAGAACACTTTTTTTTCAAAAATTTCTCGATCCTCCCCCTCTCCCACTTTGGCTGCTGCGAATTTCAGCCTTTTGTTTTTTTCTCGTGCTCTTTCGATCGTTGCGTAGTGAAATATTTGTTTCAGTTTATGCTAAGGCTTTTTGGAGATCTTCCTGAACAATTCCTCGAAATAAGTGTTGTTGTGGCTTTCTGAAAGTTGTTCTATTTAGTCGTGGCTAGTCACGAGGTGAACTTGGGAGAGGCGCCTGCTGATTCGCATTCCCACAATGAAGCCTATCACAGCCACAAGGCTCATCAGCAGATTGGCTATCCTCTTGTTTTTGGATTCATTTTCATGTTGCTTGTTGATCAGATAAGCAATGCAGCTTGGTCAAGAAGTGGGTTTTAAATTTTAACAAAAGTTGTGCTCTATTTTTCAAACGCGCTTTGAGTTGTAAGTTAGGTTCGCTTTGCAGACGATCGTACTGGACGCAATAGAATGGGAGTTTCTGCGACCATAGGACTTGTTGTGCACGCTGCTGGTGAGTGATTTCTTCCTTTTTTCTCGTAAGTGCGTCATTTAGTTCTGTCACCTTTCTAAATCATATTATCCTACATAATATAAAGCGCTTCGTCCGTCGGTTTGTATGTATATGTAACTCCATCATTACCTTGAGATCCACCTAGAGAAATCGGGTCAAATTAGGATGGCGTAGGTCATGTAAGAAGTACAAAACACTCATCAGCAGAGAGGAGCCCTGCTTACAGAGTTAATTTTTTTTTTCGAAATTTCAAAGTTGATTCCAAACAGTGTAGAGATCGGGAATGAATAATTAAGGGATTCACTTG